GGTGTGTGTGGAAGCATGAAGAACAAAATGCAATTCAAATCAATCATAATCCCTCCACCCAGACAGCTATTTGTTGTATTTCTTTCCAATATTTTCCCGTTAATGTTATATATGTACATTTTATTCTCAAATTAAGATCACAATGAATATACAAATTTGTTTTTTTTTCTTCACTTAACGTTATACTATAAGCATCTTCCCTTGTCATTAAAAACTTTTAATGGTTGTAAAACATTCAGTCATATGGATTATTGGTGCTTATCAATCTATCACCTTAGGAGCTTTGTAAAAATGTAGATGCACTGCCCCCAGTTCAGAAGAATCTGACACCCCAAAGTTAGGCCTGAGCATCTGTATTTGTAATAAGTGATTCTGATACTCAAGTCAAGCTTGAGAACCACTGTTGCACACCAAAATCTACTTAATTTACCCCTTCTATTGGGCGTGTAAATTGTTTTCAATGTTTTGCTATATAAATATGCTATGAGATTTATGCTACTTTGTCAACATCGTTGATTAATTTCTTAAGATTGATTCCTCAAAGTGGAATTATTATCAATAATTACCAATATTATCAATAATTATCAAGAGTAAGAATTGGTTTTTAAGCTTTTGTTGTATAAAGCCACAGTATTTTCTTCCCAGTTTTTAATTCTATCATCAGTGTATGAAGATGCCCATCCTATTAAATCCTTGACTATACTGAACCTTATCTTTACTTTTAAGTTTCCCAATATGAATGGCAAAAATTAATTTATATTGCTTTAATTCACATTAGTTTAACTCCAAGTAAGGTTGAATTATTTTTATATGATTTGTATTTCTTCCTGCATAAATCATCTACCAATGTCCTTTGCTGATTTTAAAGGGATTTTTAAATTTGTTGATGCAATTTCTTGTTGATTCACACAATTTTTAAGTTTTTTAAAGATATATGAAGATTTATTGGGGACTACAAAAAAATTCCTAGCAACATTCAGGCAAACATTCTGGATATTTTAACACTTGATATTTAAATTTTATAGAGAGTTTAGTATGAAGAGAGCACTCCGGTTAAGAGAGCACAGGCCTAAAACTTGAGGCGACTTTCTCTGTGTATATAACTCATGGATCCTTTCTGATAAGGATAATAAAGCACTAGCAAAATTACAGAGTAGTTTAGACAAATAAACTGTGTTAGGTCCATACATTATTGATATCATTGCCAATGATGAAACGTTCATCCTATTAAGTAAAATGGAATTGAATTTGTTTTAACCAGACTGAGTATAATATTGGAAATTATTTATTCTACAAACTATATATTCTTTGAATATCCTGTGTGAGAACATTGGCTAAATCTAGGGCTTGTATGTATCAATCAGTCCGTTACAATAATATTCTCAAATCCAAGAAATCATAAAAATACTTTACTACACTTAAGCTTTTAAAATCCTCCCCATTTACTTAGATAGACATTTTATCAGATGTAAACCTTAAAACCTCACCAATAGAAAAATTACACTATAAGAAATATGGTCTAGAAGTAAACACAATGAAAAGGCATAAAGTAAGCATAAAAGCATATCCAAATCTATAGAATTTAATGATAAATTATTTATGGAAGGGTAGAGGATAAGATAAATATCTTAGCCTGAATTAAGCATATTTTTAACATGAAAATCTTACTTTGCACTAGATTAATTTACCCAAAATTAATAAATGGAAAAAGTTTAGGTGTGTTAGTTTCCATTCTAAAGCTTTTGTTTCACGTGGTGTTTCAACAAGATTCTCGTTAACAAAAATGGGTCCCAGATGCTAGGACAATGAGGTATGGATTTTCATAATCTCAAGCTCAACTGAAGGAAATTTCAGGGATAAAAACCCTTGGAAGTTTTCCAGAGGTCCTGGGATTTGACTAGGAGCATTTTTGTTCCAACCCTGCATCAAATGTCCCGTCATCTCACTACCCCGAAAAAAGCTATTTGGAGAAGAGATTTTCTTACCTAGAATTCTTAAGGCATAAAAGGCAAAGACAAATAAGCAAGTTACCTTGGTCATATTTCCATCTATAAAAGGTCACTGTCAACACACTTGGGCTCTCAAATGTGGTTTCAACATCCAGTGAGAATGTGGTCACTTGTTTCTTCCTCTCCTTCCGTTTTTAAATGAAAACAATCTGTTCCAATTTAGTTTATTCTGTAAAAGCTGCGGTTAATAGAATAAAAGAAATAATTAATGTAGAAAATAGCTGATAATATTTTGCTTCTATCTCTTATCTGCTTGGCAGATCACTATTACAGCTTCTGTGATGCTTAATCAGGACAAGAATATCCCTTATCATCAATTATGTTTCTGACATTGATTTTGAAATCTATGTCTGAAATGTATGAAGGGGATTCCAAAGCAACAATAAAATGTGCTGCAGCAAGGATCTGCTTTCTATGTCCCTCATTTCCCTGACTCCTTACGACTTCCTTAGACTTGCTTATACTTATTCTTTCAGGGTTCCTTTTTCTTTTTGCCTGAATAGAAATATTTTTTAATCTATTCTAGCAAAATGAGTGAAGTAACTTTATATATTTTTTTAAAAGTCATTTGATGATTCTTATTATTAATAACATGTAAAAGTGATGCATTCTGTAAAATAGAATAGATGTCTAAATAGCCCTCACATATGTGGTTTATGCTGCAGTCTAAATAGCAATCTAAGGAGGCCATTAGACCTGAACTGATTATATAAAGAAATTACACCTTTAGTCAGACAATTTTAGAAAATAATAGGTACCTTTAACATGCAAAGAAATCTTGAAATACTGAAGCCTATCTCTAAATATTAATTACAAAATGCCTTCTATGCGTCATTAAAGAAAAGTAAATTTTGCATATGATAATATTAAGTGGACTTTATGGAGAGAACACACGTGTCTGGAAGGAAAACGTGTGGATTGATCGTGAACTGAGCAGTGATTTATCTATCAGTTAAGTGTATTATATTAACCAAATATATACATACACACATGTATGGATAGCAGTGTGAAACTAAACTGTTTTTACATGGCCTATTAGATGGTATTAGAAATGTCTTAGAATACTTTTATAGAAAGCTTTGTTCCAAACAATTTTCTCAACATAAAGCTTTTTTTCCTTATCCATTCCTTTATTTTGCTTTTTTATTTTCTATTGTGCTGTGAAATTGTCTTTGGATATGGCTAATAACCCTGTTAAATAACCCTCTCATGAAATGGTTTTAGTTTTATCAAAGGAACAGTCTAAACCAACATATAAAATAATTGGGATACCACTTCATTTAAAAAAAACTAATATGAATGTTTAAGGCTAAAATAAAATGGATTATAAAAACAATTTTCTCCAAAAAGAAAAATTTTAGTAGTTAGGTTTAATTCACTGAAAGACAAGTTTAGTTTCTTGTGGACACAAAACAAATGAAAACAACTCCTTTCTCCCAACAGCATTTTTTAAAAACATAGATGTCCCTATCTTCACAGAATACTCATTCATTCCTACATTTTAGTCTGGTTCTCTTGGTGATTAAACTGACAACCTGGTGTTGTTCACTTTAGGAACTATATTAATTATCTTATACCACTAACATGGCACTTCCTTGGGAATGTGGGAACAGCTAATTATTTAATTAGTTTTTAGTAAATGACAATCTAACTCTTACGAAGAGTTTCATACTCTTAAAGTGTGTGGTTTACTCACGGGAAATGTTCCTCTCCAATTGGATCAGACTATCACAACGCTGGAAAATGAACATCATTTACTTGAACTATTACAAACACATTTTAAGAGAATAAACCCTTTAATAGGCTGATTGGTGGTAAAATACACAACACTTTTTATTAGTCAATTAAATGATATTTCACTTGTAAATCAATATTCAAGCGTTACTCATTAATATAGGGTTGTTTTGTTTTATTTTATCTATAATTCATTTGGCATTAAGTAATCGCTAAGCTCAGTATTTATCAAACAGCATAGCACAACTGTACCCAAACTTTCTCAGTATATAAGCCACTTCCCTGATGTAATTGAATGAAATGTATTGAATGCTGGAAAAACCTCTTGAAAGAGTTAACGGCTCATTTAAAAACTGTAACTTGAAAGCAAGAAAGAAACCAAATGCATGGGAGGCAAAAGCCCAGGACACATTTTTTTTAATCCTCTGATAGAATAATTAGAATATGCTACTCTTATTCCCCTGTAGAGATAAACATGGAGGAAATCTAATCTAGAGGGTTTGTTTGCAAAGTCCATCACAAGCAGCAAGACTTCCTGGGGTTTAATTACTTAATTTAAACACTCAAATTGGCTATGTGATCTTAGTTTGTAAATAGCATCCAACGCCTTTAAGAATCAAAACAAAATTCAAATTTAAGAAATTTTCCCGAAGAGCTGCTTCTACCTTTCTCTTGACTATCCTGAACCAAACCTGGAAATCCTAGATTCGAAGACCAACTAAATCTGACAAATGAACAAACTAAATTCACACAAATAATAAAGGGAATAATAATTAAGCCCTACTCACCATTGTCAGGAAATCAGTACACAAAAATCAGTGGCTGGTTTGTTGGTTTGTTTATGCCATTATGTTTCCCCTTCTGGGAGTGAATTTTCATTTCAGTCTCTTTGGGGTTGTTGACATTCTTAGAGGCAAAGGAATTCAAGACATAATTCTTTCTCAATTACCAGTAAATTCAAGTTTATTACCGTTTTGCAAAAAAAAAAAATCCATGTAATTGGTTGATGATGATGTCAGTTGTCTGACAATAAATGAACTGTAAAAGTGAACAGCACCAAATGCTACATGTTTAATACACTCCGAAATTAGTTACAATTGCCTTTGGTTTGGACTCTGGTGGAAGGGGCTGCAGGATGGCAAAATGAGAGGTTTATTTAGCGTCTGGGAGAAGCTTATAAAAGAGCTTAAGTCCTCATTCCTTCTAACATCTTAACAGCTGTGCAGTTTCTTACAAAATATGTTTTATCGTTTCAAGAAATGCTGTTAACCTCGCAGTTTTAAAACTGAATGAACAAGGCCTCTTGGACAAATTGAAAAACAAATGGTGGTACGACAAAGGAGAATGTGGCAGCGGGGGAGGTGACTCCAAGGTTAGCCTCAATGTCACCAAAAGCGGGTAAACAGTATATAAAGTAATAGGTGCATCTGCTGGGAGACTTACAGTTCAGACCTACTAATGCCACCAGAATTACTAGTCAAGTCCCTTCACAAAACGACGTATGCAATTACTGTCAAAGCAAAAATATTTGCAACCGTTACCAATTGGGGGACATACTAACAAACCTAATTGAAATAATCTCTGAAAATTTCTGGCATTGAGGAGGTTGCGGATCAGACATTATAGTCCTGTGACTATTCTAGTCCTTGGTTTTGGAAAGCAGGAAGGGACGCAAGTTTTTGAAAGAGCAATTTAGTGAAGAGAGGAGGAAGAACGGAGAGGGTATGTCTGTCGCGTTTTCTTCGCCAGAACTTCTACGAAATGTTTTTAGTAACAGCAGTAACCTGACTTCACCTAGCCCATCTACAGTACCTACCAGAAAGTCATTTCTCCACCTAAAACCATCAGGCTTTCATCAAACAAGTTAAATAAAAATCAAAGACAGTCTTGTAAACTATATATTTTTGCCTTCCAGAAATGGATCAAACTACAAAATGATCAGGCTACAGAAACAAGACCAATTCAGCTTTTCTTCACTGCATCCATATCATATTTCCAGCTTTATAATGTGTTTTTTTTTTAATTTCTAAGCAGTGTCTAAAGGAAAAAAGGTATACAATTAACAGAAATTATGAATTAGTGTCCCAGAACCCTTCCTTACAAAGTATAGACTTAACAAAAACAATCCAGAGATGGGAATATTCTGACTCACTTTTCTTTTCTGACATGCCTTCACTTGGTAGGTAAGAATATTGAAAATGTAAAAGTATACAGTCTTGTCTTTCTTTTAAAATCTAGAGAATTGCTTAAAACAAAAAGTCCTGCTTGTCTTCAGGTTCTTGATTGGGTTATAAATTCTCTCACTTGGCCACCCAACCCGCTGAACGATGCTCTGTTTTGAGGGGGTACCTGTCGGGATGGCTGCTGACCTCATCCTCTTCCAATGCTGCTAACTTCCCCCTCGCTCCAATCTAAAAAGCCGTTCAAATTCAGCTCACTTGTACATTCCCATCTAATAACCAGCCCTATTGTAGGAGGAGGAAGGATAAACTTGGCCAAGCGAACAGTCTGGCCATAAGGGAGGAATGAAAGAGGAGGAAACAACAGGATTGTGTGGACCGGATCCTGCTCATCCATCTCCTGATCGTGAGAGAAAATCTGAGTCCTTGGAGAAAAAAAAAACAGAGAGGCTAGAGAGAGTCCTCAGGGGTTCCTCTGGGATGATCCCCTTCAAGACACCTCCATTCGAGGCACCAGTCATATGTTTCGATAAGGAGTATTAACTCTTTTTATATTTGGAGCCCCCACTTGCCTAGAATGTTCTGATAGTTCCCATGAAAATATAAATAAATATATATACACAGAGAAAATTATTTGAGTTTACACTGGTAATCTACTATTTTTCCACACAAATTAGAAATGTAAGAAAATGTGTTCTAATAGCGCCAAAGAAAAACGAAACTATTCTATTCCATTAGAAAAATTTTGCTTGCAAATTTTTATTTGTATCACAAATATGAGACGTATAATTGTCTAACAAAATTTTCCACAAAAATGAATAATGAAGTCCTATTTTAATGTACGTTAAAGACTCAGAGAAAAATAAGCAAGCAGAAGCAGTAATGTACATGCACATAATGGAAAAATCTATGCAACAAAGGTCATTTTGATTTATTTAAATAAGGGATTGGACAACTCAGTCAGATTTTAATCTGTTTACATCCAACACTTTGGTACGTAATGGACTCTAAGTAAATATTTGTTATTGAAAAAAATAAATATGATTCTAACGTAGTTTTCAAAAATCAAACTGCTTGTTCTCATAGGTATACGGTACATTACTTTCACCAAACATGAACTACAAAATGATATTCTAAAATGTTATTTCAAATCTTAACATATAATTTTCTAAAATGATATTAAAAATTAACATAAAATATTACTCCCAAATGAAATTACAGTATGTTTTTTTCCCTCAGGAATTTTGTTTTCACACTGAAAAACATTCCTAGTAGGTTGTATATTGACGTAATATTTATCACCGAAAGAATAGGTGGTTACAATCTAAATGCTAATAATGCCCTACTCTGAATTTGTAATAAAAGGTGATACTGTAAATGGCCTGACCTAACTCAGATCAAAGTAAATTCCCAGGAGGCAGCTGTTGCTTTTTTCATTTTTGTTTCATACCTTCTTCAGGTGACTGATTTTCTTTTTCAGCTTACCTCTCCCCTCCCATTTGGCCTCATCTTCCTCAAAAGAGGTAAAATCAGGAGGACAGTGCTGAACTGGAGAATGAAGCTGGCTCTTAAGCCTTTGCTGAGTGTAAAGCAAAAGCAGAAGAGACAATTAAATGCTGCCACTTCACTGCAGGGGGGAATATGCACATTCAGAGGTCTCAGCACAAGTGTGCTAAAATTGAGTGTCATCTGATTTCCAAATACAGAACCTTGGTAGGAGAAAACTAACTTTCCTAACAGTGATTCATCTAGAGAAGGGGGAAACCATGGAAAGCTGTGCCACACATGAGTAGGTTCCTAAGAGGACACAATTGACCCACCTGTCGTTCACAGGATTGTAAGCAGGATTGTAACCATCCTTCCATTCAGCTGCAAATTATTAAACTTCTGCTTTAACTGGGCCATTCATCAGCAACTGTGGGGAAAAAGAGAATTACTCACTGTCCTTTCCCTCAAGGAGCCTATCATTTAATATAACCAACAACTGAACTATTTAAAGTCACTGTGACATCTTCCACTCACACCCTTCGGCATGGCTGCAAAATAATTAGCATCCTCACTTACCTGATAGCCATTCCCAGCTCATGAAGTTCTAACCATAGCAACCCTCAGTCAAGAGGCTTCACACTGAAATGTAAAAATTTAACAAAAGAACCAAGGAAAAAGTTCCTGCATCTTAAATGAAATAAAGTAGAAAGGCATGATTTGGGGGTAAAATTTGCTTATTTGAAAACTTACTCCTTTGATCATGTTAATTACTACACTGTGGTCTTTTTTTATGGTCATAAGAAATTCATACTCATTCTTCCGAATAAAGTAACAGAAATTTATTAATTGACAATGAACTAATTTAAAAATATCATTGCAATGTCTAAAACTCATTTTCCCCTTTGATTAATCTGATATGGTTTAGTGTGAGTACAAACCATACACAGAATTTTGCGCCAATTTTTAGGTGAGTTGTTTAATCCTGGTTCTAGGTGGAAATTTTGGCAATATCTGTAATCATTGATGACCCATAGTGCTAATAACATCTACAAAATTATTGATTTTTTTCTGTTTATTTTATACTTTATTCTCCTATGTATGAAAAATACACATAGATGTATATTATATATACATATATATCCACATAAATGTGGATACTGATATAAAAATAATTTTTTAATGTGATTACAAAATAATGTGTCCTTAAGGAATTATATTAGATCACACAATACCCAGTTTTTAATTTGGCACTTGGAAGAATACAGCCCTTCCTGACTTTAAAATATGTTATAAATGGCCTACTCCCCTTGACCACAGCCATGGAAACCAATGCAAGAATAAAGGGATTACTGTGGAAAATATGCATTCATAGGCAGGAAAAAACATGGTAGACAAAAACCAGTAAGGGAAGCCAATGCTTGGAGAAGGAATCTCCCAGTAATGAATTCCTTGCTCAGTGCCTGACATTCCACTAGTTGACTATTAAATTTGGTTAATAATAAATATCTTACATTCAAAATTCCAATCTAATCTTACCTTCTAAAACCAGCCTACTAGAGTGAATAGCAGAAAGGACAAAGAGGCAAGTGGGAAAAATGAAGGAGGTGGGGGAAAGTGGTACCTTAAGAAGGGAGAGAGATAAGCCAAGGCAGTCTTCATCTAATTCGAAGTTTCGCCTTCAACTGTCCCTTCTAGAAGAAACTTGAAGGAAATTCTGCTTTCATTTTCCTTCTCTTTTCAGCATCAAGTCCTCCTCCTCCCAGTGGACCCCATTCAAGAAGTGCAAAATAGGCTAATACAATGTACCTATATGTGTGTTAAAAACGCTTTGCCAAGCTGGCCTGGGGATCTAAAACTCCTTAGTATCAGCTTAACGGAAACACTTGTTTTGGATTCAAAATAATTTAAATGTAGCAACTTTACAGAGCACCCCCTCTGAGTCAGACACCCTGGTAAACACAATTTTATAAAGGTGAATGAGATGTGGCTTCTGTTCTCAAGGAGTTCACAGTGCGCCAACCACCCCACGGGTGTGGTTTTGTAACAATCACTTCACAAATGGGGTGGAGGGTAAATTGTGGGAGTGCGGGGTATAGATAGTAAAATCTAGATTAACTGGGGTTAACCAAGCACCCAATTAACCATAATCCTCACCCTACCCCACCCACAAACTCAGCTTTTAGTAGAAAGTGTTAAATCATGCTCATGTTAGACTTTCATCCAAAAGATTATATAATATTCTAGGATCATGACAAATCCATATTTCTTCTTAAGCGGAACAGTGAACCTTGTAAGATCTTGTAACATCAATACAAAAATTAAATTGTATTCAGAAACCAGATAAACAAAAAGAAAAATATATTTTAGAAACTTTTTTCAGAACCAACAGTACCAAAAGAATGGGTTTTAGTTTCACTGTTAACCAGAAAATTCAATTAGCAAGAAACCTCATTTCCTGAGTCTTCTGTTGTTAATGTTTTTAATTGCACAAGCTATGAAGTCAGACTATCACAAATCCATATTCAGCTACCTCATAGCTGTGTGATTAGATGAGTTAACCTCTCTGTCTGTGCCTTGGTTTCCTCATTTGTAAAATGCAAGTGATAATAACTAAAATGGAAAATGCTTTTAACAGCACCTGGTACGTAGTAAGTGCCCAGTAAATGTTAGCTATCATTATCACCATCATTATTAATGCATTACCTAGTTGTGAAGATAGGTTTATGGAATTAATCCCCTGGTAACCAAATAAATGTATGCTGTGTTTCTCCAAAGGCACTTAAAATTTCCTAGAAGAAGTGAGGCATCAGGAGACACAGCCAGACAAAATGATTTTGGCAGCCTTAGAAATGTCAAGAGGAATACAACTAGTTTCTCTCCAAATGTTTGTAAAAGCAAAAAGAAACAAAACCCAACCAGCCACAAAAACAATAACAACAAAGGATCCTAGGAGTTACTGCTTCCCGTCCATCCTCTTAGCCTTTATTATGTACACACAGAGGTTAACATGGGAATGAAAACCAGAAGAAGTCTTAGATTCCTTGGAACATTGATGCTGAGTGACAACTGACCCTTTCCTCCCTGAGACTCCTTAAATAATATTTAATATTGAAGGACTCAAAAATGGTAGAAAAGAAAAATGGGATTTTATAGTATGGGGAGTTTGTCTATTCATAAAAATCTTCATTACTCCTAACCTCACACGTATTTGTTGGTAAGAATTTGTAGAACATTATAGTCACCTCACTTTGTACTTAGAGTATTTCAATATGGTGGACTCAAGAGAAATGAAAATTGCTTCTGGTGATATTATTTAGGTTAAATACTGCGATTCAGAAGGAAAACATCAGCATGGGCTTATACTTTAAAATAATGATTTACATACTTGTCTTAAAAGGACTTTCCTCTGCATGAGGTCGCCCTTTGTCAGTAACACCTGAATCGCCCCCCTCTCTCAGTTAGTTCCTGGATGAGAGTGGTAAGGAGTCAGTTTAACGAGGGAGACTGTAGACACACTTTTATAGCAAAAAGTAAAATTCCACTAGCTGAATCATGATGCACACAAGAAATGAAACCAGTCATACCTGGCTTCCAGTTAAGTCTGTCTGTCAACCTGCAGCCACTTCCGTTAATTTTGAAGGGGAAAAAGAGGAGCTTCTGGATTTTGAATGACTCCTACATTTACATTGGGAAGCTGTCAAAAGCTCAGGAATCCCAACCCAGGCCAATAGTTTTGGATTCACAGTAATTGCATACATTTTATTTAAAAATCCTCCCAAGCAGTATGTGCCTGTTACCTAAAGCGATGGAGCAGGCCCCAGTTTTATGTCTGACTCTGAACCTGGGCCTACAGTACAAGACATAGCACCTACTGTGGCCTCTGCTCTGTCACTTTGCCATGCGATTCTAATGTAGTTTTACTTGAATAACATAAAATAACATATATAATGTTATTTATGTTATTTTCCACGTGAAGAACTCCTGTAAACCTTGCCGTTTTGAAACTCAGTGAGGCAGGCGTCTTAGACAAGCTGAAAAACAAATGGTGGTACGATAAAGGTGAATGCGGACCCAAGGACTCTGGAAGCAAGGTCAGTCGCTGCTGCAGTTCGGGGCCTCCTCTTGTGTTCACAACGCAGTAAGCGCGAGCAATTGTCAAAAGTATATGGAAGCAGTAAAAACGAAACATTTCTCTAGACACTGCCTAGATTAGAAGCTCATGTCATAAATTTCAGCCACAGGGACTGTCTTTTCAGGAAATTGCAACCTGCTCCCCAACAGTAAGGCGTTAAATAAACTTAAATTAACTGCAAAAATGTATAAAATAATAAAATTCCTTATATTATTCTCAAACTTACGTACCACTGATAAAAGTAGTGCTTTTTGGTTAGGTTTCCATTTGCTCATTTCGGAGGCCAAGACCATGAAATCTATTATTTCAAGAACGGATGCATTCTCAAAACAGGGAAAGGGAAATTGATCAGTAGTCATCCAGAAAATGATTTTAAATATTAAATATATGCGTATTCAGAAGTTCAGTCTTTTGTCACCATATTGCCAAGCATTCCACTTTAGTTTGAAGAAGCCCTGTTATATTTCTGTGCTGACAGATAAACAGATTGAAGCTTCCAATTCTATTCTATCAAAATTATTTTAATAAATCAATGTTTATGAATAATATCCTCAAGTTCTACGATCTTTTACTCATGAATCCGTGTTAGAAAAATTCAGAAACCTACAGGTCTGATTCTGTTGAGTACAATTGAAAATAGTGTTGCAAACAGTTATACTTTTATTCTAAAGAAAAAAAGTAACAATTTATCAGTGAATCTAAATACCTCCACAGATCAATAGAATGTAATATCAGTGCCTGAAAGCCATAGTTGAGGATTCTTGGAATCTTCTTTTGTTTTTTTCTGTATCTTCTTTTAGAAAGAAAAAAAATTTGTTACTCTAAGACATTAAAGAAGTGACTGGTTTAAACAGCAGACCCTCAATTAATATAAGGAGGAGACAAAGTAATGTTAATAGATTCCTTTCAGGGCTTATCAGTAGATTTTCATCAGTTTTTTCTGCCTTTGAACCAGAGTGGAATGAGACAACCTTGGCCAAATAATGAAATAGTTATCTCAAATCCTTATGTAAAGTTGGAGAAGCATAAATACTTAATGACTGATTATTTTAAAAATGAAGTTACTCTAAATTTTTGGCCCAGTTGATGTCGTGCCTAACTGAACAGCGTACAGAGTACATCTTTTGAATTAAACACACTCTTAACAAAACTATTTAAGTGTCTGAATCACACTTTGCACAAAACATACTGCTGAGAAGATGATGGCCACAAGGCATCCTTCAGGTAGTCTACCCAAAATACTTTTCTGAATAATGTTATGTAATATATATATTTACAATTTATGAAAAAATTCTGAATTCTTACTACAATTTTAATATCTTCCAATCATATCCTTGACTATTTCTGAATTTATTATGAGATAATATGTATACTAAAGCTTTGGAGAATAACATATCTAAAATATTAACTGATTAAGCATTTTTAAGTGGGAATGGAATTATATTTTTAAATCAGTAAAAATAGTTATAAATTTATCCATACATAAATAATTTATTTCTCTTTTGACCATGGTAATTTGTATACCCTAGCATATTTTTTGCATATATTTGGTAAAGTAATGATGAATAAAATGTGAAACTGCTAGTTTAAAGACCCTTCGTTCTTTAAGTAGGAAATGTGAAATTAGATTTATTGAAGAGAAATCTCAAACATTAGAAGTATGTTTTAATGGAAGGAAAGACAAAAGAGGTCCCCTTGCCATGTCATTGGGATTTAAAAATGTCATTTTCGAACTTAACAATAATAAGCCCACTTCTGCCACCCTATGCAAACACGTAAATGCTTATATATGGCTAAGTATAGTGGTTTTTACTGCATATTTAATAATGATAAAATGTTACAGATTTTATTGAAGGTAATTACACACAATTTATTGGTAATCATCTGAATTTCACTTCTTGCAAGAGCTATAAGCTTTATGTTGAAATCCATAAACTTACAACAGTGATTTATAAACGTAAATAATTCCAGGTTAAATTAAGCATTTACTTGAATTAGCTGTTTGGATTTCATGTGTTCTTTTACCTTCTGGATGTGACATTTCCACAGTTAACTGAAGTGTCTTTATCCCCCCAGGACAAGACGAGTGCCTTGAGCCTGAGCAACGTAGCAGGCGTCTTCTACATTCTGGTTGGCGGCCTGGGCTTGGCAATGCTGGTGGCTTTGATAGAGTTCTGTTACAAGTCCAGGGCAGAAGCGAAGAGAATGAAGGTGGCAAAGAGTGCACAGACTTTTAACCCAACTTCCTCGCAGAATACCCAGAATTTAGCAACCTATAGAGAAGGTTACAACGTATATGGAACCGAAAGTATTAAAATTTAGGGGTAGGACTTAGGGCCTGCGACAGTGAGTGGGGGATGCATCCTGTAAACGTAGTGTTGTGACCTGTCTGTCCAGTGGTGGTATTGCTTGCTTCTAATTAGAGCTTTCTATTTTTGAAAACTTCAGTGCAAAGTGGTTTGGTTTTCTTTGGCTGCAGACGTACTGTTCAAAACTTTATGTTGCCAATAGATATCTGCATTGAAAGGGTCAGAAAGACAAAAACAAACCTCCAGAATTGCTCTGCGAAATGATTGAAACAGTATATTCTATCCAAAATTTGGAAGAAATTGGAAATTAGATTTGGGTAGACAGACCAGGCTAATCTTCTCTGGAACAATTCAATTTTAGGATAAGTGCTAACAAAAGCATACAACATGTTTCAAATTATCAAAGCCTAGACAGTTGCCTATTTTTGGTAATTATATTTTTTTCTGAGAAACAACATATGTAAAAGCTCCAAGCATATAGTCAGCACTCAGCGAATTTTAGCTCCTATTCTAAATGGTTTTACATTAGCCATCATTCTATATTTTTAAAGAATGAAACCCCACTCCTTGTTCATCTGACTGTAGCCCTTGAGCCAGATCTTTAGGCAGGAGGGATGGTCAGAATATTGACTACAATTCACATTTATTAGATGAAATTCTACTTTTATGTTCACAGTATCACTAAGGTGAATAGACATTTTAGGCAATACAGCAGTTTCTCCATCAAAGATGTCAGCAATATATGTATTCTTTAGAAGGGACGCAGTAAAAGACAAAAATTGCAGTCAGTTATTACAGGTTTTTTTTTTTTTTTTTCATTTCAATTGTTTTTAAGTAAGCCAGATTGGCTCCACTTACTCACATCCTCTCATTGTGTCGCAATAAAAAACTGCAAGCATTCAGTGAAATATAGGAGATGGAGATCATTTTTTAAGAATCTAAATGTCCACTACTTTTTTCCCTTTAATGATAGAAAGTGGTTTTAAAATAAGATCTGAAAGCATTTGTTACTGTTCTTCCTAAAATCAGGTCTCTAAAATCCATTTTCTAAAATTACATATAATAGCCAATTGAATAGGCTGCTCATTCTGATTACAATGATAAATGAGACTTTGAACCCACAAGAGACATTCAGTGCTTCATGTCTCTAGAGTCAAAAACCCAATATAATTTTCATAAGAATAACATGTACATCTGAGGTTATGTCAAGTAAACGTGCTTGATTCTGATGTTTATGTATATGAAAGGTATCGAAGTACTTTTTAGTATCTTAAAACAAAGAACAAAAGCCATTCCCTTGTTACCAAGATCTGATTGTTTTTATCTATCATCTAGAAGTCAATGACTGAGTATAACTGCACGTAGATAAGCCCAAAGTGGTTCTTTCCCAATTTTGTGGAAAGGAATTAAGAACAAAACCCCCAATTCACTCAGATCAGAATATCTTTAGCATGTCTTCTAATAGCAAAACAACAAACTAGGATGATGTCAGGGTCTCTTGGCCATTCTAGGAATGCTTTCCTCTTAATATTTACAGAATTGAGGAGAGATTTTCCCAAATGAGAAAAACAATACCTGACAAGTTTTCAGAGTCAATTGTTTGGACTTCATACTGAGATGAATTTTATAAGATACCTTTAAAAAGTCTTTTTTTACCAGTTCATTAAAACTGACTTTTCTTTGGCATGGCAAAAGCATTCTAACCATCAGGAAGGTCCAAGGGCTCGGAAGCAAAGCAAAGAAAAAGAATAGTAGAAAATTCTAGAAAGAAATATTCATGGATGCCAGTTCATTACAAAATTCTGGAAAATTGCAAAAAAGACATATAAATAAAAGAGATATAAATTCCCAGGTTATGTATTTACATGTAATACTGTTTTTGGAATCAGAAGCTGGCACTGCAGTTCATCACACGAATTGCCTTTAGAGCTAGGGTTGAACTTTTAAGACAATAAATTTCAAATAAAAATAAATCATATCCATATGAATTTTTTAAAAACTTACTGGCATTCAGGGTAAATGAAATGATCTGCACCTGTAGAGAAGACTTGAAAGTAGGTAGTTTTTATTGCATTCTCATATGAAATGAGTTTTCCCCTCAAAAACTGGATGGGTCATAATTATGTAAATCTTTGATAATTTAGATAATATTCTCCCAGAATGTCAAAAACAAAAGCTGAAATCTTCAATATATGGTAGATTATCTACTTTAAAAGTGATTACCCCTCAAGGAAACACATACAATTAAGGTCATAGACATTAGTCACAACAATCCAACCAGACCCATGTGAATTTATAAGAAAGTTTTCCAGTTCAAGCAGCCTCAACATGTTCATATCAAGATGAATAGAAATGACATTTTATGGAAGAAGCAGGAGGTGTAAGGATAGGAAATAAGAATGCTGAGAACTAGGAATGCTAAGATTTAAAGAAAAAATGAGTTGTCGGAGATTTATTAACTAATACATTCAGTTGCATTAATCTATAGAGAAGGAGAGATTACTTGAAAGTACGTGGAATCTTTCCATCTTTAGATGTCTTCCTTTCCTCTCAAAGGCAATGAAGAAAAGAAAGGAAACAAAAATATATTTTATGGCAAAAGCCTTCTGAAAAAATTTCTTCAAAAAATCACAACACTTTTATTAATTGTATTTTAGTATTTCCTCTTTAAAAAATTGCAGCAAAACAGAACTAAACTACTAGATTTTTGAAAAATAATTATCTATTTTACTTAATATCAAACATTGAAGGGGAATCTGAAGAAACAAATTCAGACTTTGGTCTTGGTTTGTTTTAATTTACTGATGAGTAGAGTTTCTCTAGAGATTGTATCCTGACTTCTGATTATGAAGATAAGTATCAATTTTTGAGACTGTTCTCAAAAGCAGAACTATGATAATGACCTGGTTATTACCATAGATATGCCATTAACTAGCAATTTGACTTCAACTTTCTGAAGTTATCAGGGTACCTGATCTCCAAACCTTTTCATTATAACAGTTTTTAATCCAATTATTAATTTAATTATTTAATATATAATTATTCAAATATTTAAGTTCCTGGGCAGAATACATACAAGGATAGAATTTCCTAAAGAATTAGGTAAACTTAAATTCACAACAGGGAATTAAGATACATTATGAGTTATGAGAAAATTATAATCTAAGGTATAACAAATTTAGGGAATATCTCATTTACTTTATTTTCCTCTTCAGTAACATTAAAATTCAGCTCTGGAAAGAATTTAAAGGCAATGAAGGAAAGTAATAAGATTTACATAATAACACTGCCTGTTTCTTCTCTGTGTAATATTATTATCTGCTACCTAATATGACAGAGAATAAGAATTTAATGAGGATTTCAGAGACCTGATCCCATAACCTCAATCTGGAAAGTTCCCCAGTGATGACTATTCACAAGGTATTGAAATACGCCCCCTCTCAGTGCACTCCCTTTAAGCACTTAAAGCTTCTTAAAATATGAGCCTTAGCTTCCATAGTAGGCATAGAATGAACTTTATGTCACTAATTGTGCTGTTCTGGGTCACGTCTATAACTGGTGTGAATGAATGAACGTGTCTGTGGATAGATCTGTGTTCTGAAAACAGGAAGATCTGTCATGAATAGTACATATATGTATAGTTTGTTTAGCCAGTTCATCACAATTTTAAGAGTATAATACTTGCACTGTAAAGACATTTTCTAACAAGACAAAAAGATTCAAATGAAGAATGTTGTCAAATCTAAAGGAGCTTTTAAGTTGGACTAGAAGTACTAGGGTGTAGAGTAGAGCAAGTTAAAACATGTGTCCTGCCCAGATTTGCCAAAAAAAAAAACAAAAAACTAGTTTTATGATTTTAGAATGAGTTCTTAGGCAGGACCACAAACTTGAGACAGATTTCTCTCCAGTGTAGGTGAGCTTTCCTTTCTCCTGATAAGCAGTTTTCATATGACCAAAAGACTGTGGAAAAAATGCAGATGTCTAATGATTGATATTTTGGTGTTTGTGGTGTCATATTTTGTTGAAGAAACAGAAATATTGTAACACTACACATTCTTTCTGTTTCCTTTCCATGCAACCCAGCTGACCTTTTCTGAAGCCATAAGAAACAAAGCCAGATTATCCATCACTGGGAGTGTGGGTGAAAATGGCCGTGTCTTGACGCCCGACTGCCCAAAGGCTGTACACACTGGAACTGCAATTAGACAAAGTTCAGGATTGGCTGTCATTGCATCGGACCTACCATAAAAACCAAAAAAATAATTGAGTGCCTTAATTAAACTGTGTTGGTGACTGATGGAAACGCAGCCCTGAGGGACACGCCCAGCGCGGGTCTTCGCTAAACCAATCCTTTGGCTGAGAGCGGAAAGTACGCCCTAATGCGCCGGACATCAGCAGCAGCAACGTGTGCATGAGCTCAGCTCGGAAACCCAAACTCAGATTTTATATCAGGAAAACTCACAATTTAGATTTTTTCGGGGAGTGGGGGGGGAGGGGGAGGAGCTGGGATGGGTGTATTAACAGCAACAAATTTCACTCGAGTGGACTTGAAACTAATCAGACTTGCGAGTTAGCGCATTAAACTGTGAAGTTCTTGCTCAGAAAGGCCTTGGTCTTCACCAAAAGGAATAAAATAGTTGTAGAAGTCAAACAACATGCTAACCTGTGTCTCCAGAATACCCATATATTCAATGGAAGACTATCCAGCTGAGAAAACAAATCACTAAACTGTGATAAGAAAATAATACAACAAACATGTAAATCCTGTGAAAAAATTTAAAGGAAGTCTTTACACTTACTTTGGAGAAAACAAAAATACTGAAACATGCTTGCTTTTTAACTGATGTAAATTCAGTAGAGGACAACACAATTCTTTTTTCTAACCATCTTAGGGAACAATACATTTGCAATAATTGATATAAATGCCATCACTGTAATAAACTTTAGAGACTTTTTTTTTATAAAAGTTGTTGATCATCTTCTTGTTTGCTGTAACCTTCACTCTGTCACATGAGTTGGTGTCCACAGATTGCATTTGTCTCACTACCAGGAACAAAAAAAAATGAAGACAACGTTAACGTAACATCATCAGTCTGCAATGTAGAATCAAAAGAGACTACGGGTCACTCATGTTATCGATATTATTTATAATCTTGTTCTGTGTACAAAATTGTGGTTTTTGTACCCACCAAAACGAATAAAACAACAGATGTTCTTATAATATCTACGGAGCTTAAGGTTTTTTCTTATCATTGTGAAAGTTATTTGAGAAATCATAAGACTATAGGAGGAATTGTATAAGTCAAGTGTGGGCCATAATGGAAAATGTAGCTAGCCCTTATTATTTTTGCATATTAAGCTACCCTCTTTTATAGATCTTTTGACTCATCAGCAGGTTGAATTGTGAAAGATGGAGTGTCTGAATTGGAGAATGAATTGTTGTCCCAACAGCGACATACCCTGTAATTGTGTGCTGATATTTTACTTGACTGTATTTTGCTGCATAAAAATAATGTGTCTCTTAGGCTTCTCCCCCCATTCTCATTATTCCATTTAAATCGTTTGAAGGCACTGATAATACTTTTGGGTAGACAACAAATGGAGAATTAGTCCTTGTTTTCAACTGGAAATTGAGAAGAAAATTATACCCATGTTTATTTATAAAAATCACCTTATATTATGCATGGATTAAATTAACATGGTTCAAAAGAAGGTTTGGGTCATTTGAAATAAAAATAAGTGCTATAATACAGATAAATATCATAATATTTACAGATCTTTGCAGAAAGCACAAGTTAGGATGATTTTGGAACTCTGGTCTTGAAGGATGAGTTGAGTTTTCATAGGTGGAGAAGGTGTTAAGAGCCTTATGGGTGAGCAGTGGCCCAAAGCGATGCATGTCAATGGCTTGTTTAATGAGTGTATGCAACTGAATGGTCTGGAGAGAGCACAGGGTGTGATATCATGAAAGACAAAATTGGAAAAGGTAAAGGATTGATCACCTTGCTTCAACTCTCAAGATGCCCAGCCCCCATTCAATCTCTGCTGCAGTAAGAGCAATCTTAAAAGAGTTCAAATCTGATAACACACACACACACTCGCACGCGCGCGTGCGCGCGCACACACACACACACTGTTTCCTCAGGAAAAATTCCAAGCTCTTGAGCAGAGCTAATGAGCCCTTTATGACCTGGCCCTTGCTCATCTCTTCCACAACTTCTCTCACCCCTACCCAACCTCTCCCGCCCTCAAATGAATCTCAAAAGCAGCACATGGGACACTGCATCTACCAATTCCTCAGTCTATAGCTCTTCCCTATCTCCTCTTTACCTGACTAACTTGTACTCATCCTTCAGTACTCAAATCTAATTTTACCTGCCCTGGGAAGATTTCCATGACTATCTACCACCCCCTGCCTATCAGACTGAATTAGGTGCCCTTTTAATGTTTTCTCCCCCTCACGGCACTTACCATCCTGCATTGTAATTGCCTGTGTACTTGTCTGTGTAACGACTAGACTGTAAGCCCCTTGAGGGAAGGGACTGTGTCGATCTTGTTCACAGTTGTATCCCCAGCATACCCAGCACAGTGCCTAGCATATTGTAGGTGCTTAATAAATATTTGTTGAATGAATGAATGAATTGCATTGAATTAATTTAATTAAGTGGAAGCAGAAAAATATCTTTCCTCATTAACAGTCTCTAGAATGTGTGTTAAGTATACAGTGAGTCCAAATAAAGGGTGAAGGTTGGCTGATTTCATAACATCATCTACCTCACTGGAAGGAGTGGCTAAAAAAGCGCAAAAAAAGATGATCTGATGAATTTTCTAATCAGATGAGAAGGTAGTCCATGTAATTGTACCTAGCTGTGAAATAATTTTGTTTAGCTAGAGAAGTTGTCATAAGGTAACTAAATAACCCAAAAAAGGGTTTTGATGTGGTTTTTAGCCATACTTCTAAAGATATCTTTCATTTAAGACTCAGAGTGAATTAGTGATGTAAAGTTAAGGAGTTATATTTCTTATAGTTTTATTTCTGTATTAGTAATAGTATTATACAGTTAAATTTCTAATAGAATAATTTTGCCAAAAATAAAATTTTAAGTTTGACCTCAGTAAAGAGGGATATCTAACTGGACTCCAGTCTGAGGAAATGCTATAGAGGTAGGAAATGGGATTTTAAAACATTTACGTTTAAGTTAAGTTAAAAACATTCAAGTTAAAACTTTCGGTTCCATGAAGTAAAGAACTTAGTTACCAAGCAAGCAAGATCATCACCTAGTACAGAATTTCCTCAACACATGAGGCAAAGCCAATTTAGAAGCTATATCAGCTAGTTAATCATATGCAGTGACCACATTTGAAAGATATGAAGAGCCTCAGAAGAAATACTTTGCTACACTCAACTCAATAACCACTAGTTGAAAATGCCAGTCCCACTGTTACTGTACTTGCTTCAGGCTGCTCCCTGGTCTCCCCACCTGTTGACTGTCAATGCATTCCATTTCCCTAAGGCATAGCATACAGTAGGTGTTCAATATATATTTGTCAATGCATACACACAACTTATTAAGCCAGTATCAGTGAAAAAATGTTCCAAAAATTTTCCCTCAAAATAGAATATCCCAATTTGCGACACCAAGGAAGTGCTGATAGGAATGAGAACTTAAAGTGACATCTAAGAGAGTTTCTGAAAAGACAAACTGAAATCGTGCAGCTTCATCTGCCTTATATGTATTAATACGATGCTAATATGCTGCTACATGAAAAGGGTGCCTTCTCATGCACATTCATAAATGAGTTTTAATTTCAAATAGTCCAGCAGGCTAGAGTACTTAGCATTTGTAAAACCAAATGCAAATGTTTATATATTTTCAAAACAGCTAGTACCAGCGGTCTTTTCAAAAGAGAATGTTCTTCTTTAAGAAAAGATTTTGATAAATTATGAAGAGCAAGAGATGAGATTTGAAAATTGTATCTCAAAAAACAACAGAGGGGCCAGCCCGGTGGCACAAGCGGTTAAGTGCGTGTGCTCCCCTGCGGCGGCCCGGGATTCACAGGTTTGGATCTCAGGCGCGCACCGACGCACTGCTTGGCAAGCCATGCTGTGGCAGCATCCCATATAAAGTGGAAGAAGATGGACACGGATGTTAGCCCAGGGCCAGTCTTCCTCAGCCAGAAAAAGAGGAGGATTGGCAGATGTTAGCACAGGGCTGATCTCCTCCCTCACAAAAAAAAAAAAAAAAAACAGAGAACTAAATTACTTCCCATGAAATAAGAATTATCTGTTTATTTACTGATCTTCCTTTGATTTTATTTTCTTTGGAGGAAAAAATGGGCAGAGGTGAGGAAAAATAAAATGTAAGGAGTAAGGAGACATTAAAAAAGCTGAGTAAAAAGCCGATAGGATTGTCCTGGGTGGCCAGAAAGAACTTATGAGAGCAAGAATACTTGACATATGATTTTTCCATTGTTGGGTGTGGAATGTCTGATGTATGCCTCTTCCCATGACCTGCATACCTCCAGATTAAATTTTCCTACACGCCACAGACTGGTATTTACAGTTGGGTTAAAGGAAGGAGTCAAGGAGAAAGTTCTAAGTCCCATGGTTGAGCTGACAGTAGGCCAGAAATAACCCAAATAATACGTCTCCTACCCACAGAAATGTGCAGAAATCTAGATTGGGACTTGTCCTTCCACATGGCAAAGAATGAAGGTCCGTTCAATTTTTTCTGGATCTGAAGAAGATGACAGGTTAACAGGACCTCCAGAATACTTAAATAATTTTTTTTAGCCTGTGCTGACTGCATGGTGTCATAAACAACAAAATAAGCATAAAATGTAGATCATTATTTAATGATATGTAAGATCGTTAAATAAATATTTTGTTAAATTGTAATGCCTAATTCACAGCTTGAGTGAAGGGGTTATTTAGGAGTTTTGTAATCCTGAAATCTGAAACACAAAGACAGCCTGCTTAAGTAGCAGATTATGATTTCCTCCCCAGTGCATACAGTTGACCAACACTTTTAAAGTTCTTAAACATTTAGTAATGGCTGAAAACTGTCTGTAGAAAGTTATTTCTGAAGTTTAATAGGTCTATAGTCATTGGCAAGCAATGCATCAATAGATGATTGAATGAACTGATTGACTAAATGAATAAAAGAATGAATGAGCGAAGTTCATCTAAAGAAGTTAGTGATCTCTGCCTATGTAAAAACTTCTGCCAGCTCCCTGAGCTAATTACTTGCATAAATGTGAATGCTTTCAACATTTTTTAACAAAGAAGCTATTTGGAACAATTTAGGCCATATCTACCTCCATCTAGAGATTTACCTAATTCTTTAGTCATCTAAAACTGGTGGTGTTTCAAACTTCTAAAACGTGGAAATTGATTAATTCCATCTGCTTGAGACTTTCTCAGAGCCATACTTCCCAACAATATTCTGTTTGCAACTCTAAGCACAATCAAAGTCTGCCAGCATCATTAATCTTTTAAGACCACCATCAGAACAAGTCAGAGCTTTGGGATCTTTGGGCCTCAGACCTGCACAGGAGCTTCTGATGCTTTGACTTGAGTTTCATTTGAAACTTTCAACCCACCAGGCCTACATCCATGTCATCCTTCGTCACAGCCTCACATCAAAATCATCCCAATAATCTTTCCTTCTCATCTCACATTCTCCTCCCAACACTCTTCTGTACTTCTCACCTTTCTCCTCATTCATCTTCCCACTGTCTCCCTGACCTGGCCACCATTCTCCCTATTCCCCTCAATATAAAGTAAAGAAACTCCCAACATCTTCAACCTCTCCCCAGAGCATTGTCCAATCTCCTGATAGTATCATTCCATATGCTACAAACTTCGAAGGAAAAGGAATGGCAATCCTTACAATTATACCTCTGCCCTCATGCATTAAAAACCCTTCTCTTTGAAGTGTATGTCATCTAACCATGCTGTCAAAATGGACCTCCTACTTGTCCATTTTGTCTGCTGACTTCTCTGTCATTGCCTCACATTCATCAAGGACTGTGGCATTTGGCTTATTCTTCCTTTGCACCCCAAGTTCTATAATCATCTTGAGTGATTTCAAGGTCAATGCAGATGCTTCATTTAAGCCCTTGCCCTGCAGTTCCTTGACTCCTCATTGGTCTTTGCTTCTATGTTATGTAAGTCACTTATACCAATAGACTTGTGGCAGACCTTGGATTATTTACCTTTTCATCTTCCTCCAGATGATGACTCAGTTCCAGTCTTCCTTTCATACTCTAGTCACTGAAAAAAGTGGCCTTTAATCCCTTATTTAACCCCTCCATTTAGCTCCATTACTTCACCAAAATGTCCATCCCATGGTCATCATTAAACATCTTGTAACCATATTTTTTTTTTTTTTTTTGTGAGGAAGATCAGCCCTGAGCTAACATCCATGCCAATCCTCCTCTTTTTGCTGAGGAAGACCGACCCTGAGCTAGCATCTATTGCCAATCCTCCTCCTTTTCTTTTTTTTTGCCTTTTTCTCCTCAAAGCCCCAGTAGATAGTTGTATGTCATAGTTGCACATCCTCCTAGTTGCCATATATGGGACGCGGCCTCAGCATGGCCAGACAAGCAGTGCGTCGGTGTGCGCCTGGGATCCGAACCTGGGCCGCCAGTAGCAGAGCACATGCACTTAACTGCTAAGCCACGGGGCCGGCCCCTTGTAACCATATTAACTAACATTTTCAATATGGAACTAAACCAATTGATCTCTTCATTCTTCAGTTTTCCCCTAATCCTCTGTTTATTTATTCTCAGTCTATTTTATGTTCCCCACTTCCTCCAACCAAATCTTACATGTTGACATTACCCAGGGTTGAATCCTTTGCACATTTCTCTTCCCATGGGACACATTCCACCTGGTTGATCCTACTGTCATCAAGATGTCTACAGTCACCTATACATTACTCACTCAGAAATCTCTATCTTCCTTTCTAGTCCCACATATCCAATTTCATACTGGTTATTTCTTTTTGACTTCTCAGTTACAACATGTCAAACTCCCCATCTTTTACTCTGCATCCCTACCTCCTCTTGTATTCCCTGTCTCAGTGAGTGGCACTACCAGTTAGCTAATCTCCCAGATTAGAAACTTGAGAATTATTCTAGAACCCCTTTTCCTCATCATTCTCCCATCCAATCAATCAACATCTTGAATTTCTTATATCTCCTAAATATCTCCTTACTCTGTCCCATGTTCTTCATCCATACTATGACTGACTGAATTCAGAGACTCATAATTTCTCACTGTTGTTACCATGATTGTCTCCTAATAAACTCCTTGCTTCTCATCTCACTTACATCCCCCTGTAGTCCATTCTCTATATGGCTGCCAGAGTGATTTTCCTAAAACACAAATATGACCCTGTCACCTTCCTGGTTAATATAACTTAACGTCCATTGTATGACACCTGTGAGCATCTCCAGTATCTTCTCTCACATACTTTCCACTCCAATAACACCAAATTACTCCTCAGAGCTCCAGTTTTCTGAATGCCTCATGTTCTTTTCCTTCTAAGTTTTGCCAATTATTATCTCTACCTGGAATGTTCCTGTTTCAGACAGGGTTTCTGACTATACCAACAGAACCCATTCTCGC